TCAGTATCAACAGGCGCGCGGTGTGGAAAGCAAACCTGGCGATAGGTTTCAATAGGTTCAATACAAGTCCGCCGACTAAATGATTTTCGACCGACCGCAGGGAAACGCAGGGGCGCCCCCCCCCGACCGAGCTGCGAAACAACGGCGTCCACACCGGCCGCCGCTCGACAACCAAAATTTTCTTCGGCGCTGCGCGCCGTTGCAGTCGAGTGTATGTCTGTGTATGTTGCAGCCCAGCTATCGTGCCGCACAATAGGTCTATGTGGTTAGAAAAAATGCCCTCGAAAGCGCCCGCCGGTGTGTGTCCAAAGATGTAGCGCTACAAGTTGGGGACGCATCCGACACACGGGCAGGTTTTCGCGCTTAGCAGCTGGCCAACGGTGATGACGCCGTCGCGTCACCGACGGCTCGTGCTTGCGTATGATAGCAACCCCTTGTCCGACGGCAGCGTCCTCGCGTCCGCCTCCGCCCGCGCGGCATCATCATTGTCCGCCTACACCACTGCGGCCGCGGCCGCACCCGCGGTGGCAGGGTTTCACACGCGCCCAGGCGCAGGTGCAGCAGCAGCCAGTGCAGCAGCAGCAGCTAGTGCAGCAGCGCGTGATCACGCTTGCACACGCGATGGGCGGTCGTCATGTGCTGCAGGATGGGTCACTTTGGACGCGTCCCATCGGAAGGCCGCCGCTTCCACCCGGCTCCCCGAGAAGGCACAGCGAGGCGCGGTGCAATCAGTGGAAGCACCATCGGATCAAAAAGAACGCCGATGCTGCCCTACAGGCTGCACAGACAGTGCTAGCTCTTTATAGCGAGGCGACCAGGCGCGAGATGTTCACTCTCGCGCCACATCCCTACAACGGGGTGCATTGTACCCACTTGCACGCCGGCACGAGCGCGACGCCGCAGTGGGGCAAACGGGGCATCTGGGGCTAGCTCAGCTATGAGCATCACCTCTGCCGCTTCTCGCCATCCCCGAGGAGCAGCGCGCCCGAAGCAGGTGAGTCACGGCCGCTAGGTACAGCGAGCGCGGCGGGCCAGAAGCGAGAAGGGAACGAAGGAGAAAATCAGCAGATTCCGATGGCGGAGGCTCGGCATGCTCCTGCCGTCGCGGTGCTAGACAGCAAGCTATACGCTGTGGGAGGCTTCAGCAACGGCGACGACGACGGCCTCCTCAGCTCGGTCG